CTCTCTCTCTCTCTCTCTCTCTCTCTCTCTCTCTCTCTCTCTCTCTCCCGCCCTTCAAACAGACTCACAGTCATTCCTGATCACTCGCTCTTTTATTTCACACAATTTTTCTTAATCCTACCCTGGATTCAGACCACTCTAATTCTTTCCATTAAGCCGATTTATTTCTGTTTGATTTTTATTTATTTTTTCACGTGTTTTAAAGATCCGTATGCTCCGGTATAATATGCAGGCTATATACCTTATATTAGCCCACAACTACCAGAATGTAAGACATGGTTAAAGCATGTTCATCAAACAATCAGTTCATAATCAGAAAATATTTAATGACTTTTCTTTCCTCCTTCTTCAACTCATTTTGTGCAGCAAAGGAAAGAGATGAAAACTCCATTCTGCAAATTCAACTCACTTTGTTTTTGCTTTGCACTCCATTACATGTTGCATTGAATTTCATTCAGCGGGACTCGTTATTGTCCACTATTAGTCCGCACGATTCAGACAACTTTAACTGGAGCATAATAAAATGTGTTTTCTTTGAACAACATTCAAACCCGTAAAGAACTGTGGGAAGCTGTGTAATGGAGGCGATCGGGCTCGTTGAAGTCTCTCATTAGGGATCATCTATCATGCAGGCTAGCAAATATGGATTCAAGTGTCGGGGAAGATTTCACCCGAGATGAAGCGATGAAGCAGAGTGCTATGTTCTTACATGTTCCAGTATGAGTGGCTGCAGCACTACATGTTCATGTCACTCAAATCAGAAAGCCTTTCAGTAAATGCCACTTGCATTCAAATTGTGCCTCACATGTATTCTTCAATACATGACATTTTCTAGAAATCCCAATTAGCTGCTCTCACAAAAAATGAAGCAGTTTTACGGCAGTGACATTTGATTAGTAGACTAGAATGAAATGAATTCAAATTGTATTTTCTGCCATTGTGGTCAACTCCAAAATCATAAGAAGTGTTCAAGAGTGATGGGGGGCCACAAGTATTGTCAAGACTCCTTTAACTTTGACAGGTGCCTCAGGCTCTGACATTCTAATCAGCATCACCTTAACAAGGTTAGCCCTGCTTTGCTTCTCTCTTTTGCTCTGAAATGATGTTTGCAGCACTATGAGCCTTTTGTGAAATGGTCCTCGGGGTTCTCTTTCAAAGTCTGGGCAATATATTATTCAGGAAGACTGCCACCAGCATGCCAAATCCTTTCTCCCCCCCCCCCCAAAAAAAAATGTGAATTCCGTTGAATAAAGCCATTGGTTTCCTATTTTCAGCAGAGCCGACTCGATATATCAAGGCCGTGTACTCGTGTTGATCTGAGCAGCAGTGACCCACAAGACCTTTACCTCTACACAAACCACAGGAAAGCTCTTTTCCAGCAGGCAGCGTATGCGATGGTCCATCCACTCCACTCGTTATTCACCTGCTGTGTGAACACCAAACTAAACAGGGAGTTGAACAAGATGTTCCTGGAAAAAAAAAAATGCCAGCAGCGTTAAAAGGAAAAGGTGTCAAAAATATATAATTTCGAACTCTTTTGGAACATGTATACATGCAGGGCCAACTCTCCCGCACTGCCTCCTTTCACTGCTGACAGAGCAGAGAGAACGCTTCCCTGGTTAAGGTCAGCAGTACTAATGCATTACCACACATCTCTAGAGGGCAGTGTCAACAACAATTTATTGGGGTAACATAGCTGAACATGTTGCCGTCCATATGGCATTCAACCCGATAACAAAGAGGGGTCTTCAGCCTTGTGAAAGTCCAGATATTGTTTCCATGTGCTTACTTCTCTCTTTGTACCATAAGCACATCAATGTTTTTAGAGTGTAAGGACTTCAGAGGGAGAGGAAACCTGAGACGCAGACAGACCTGACTCCGTCTTGATGAGGGTTATTCCGTCTCCTCTCATTCTTCTTCTCTTACCTGTAATCAATACTTGTTCCTTTGGATTCATTTGTTGTGATGCCTGTTTTGCCACTGGGCTATCAGGGTCACATTTTGGTCAGTCACTCAGGCATGCCTACTGGGTGGACACAGTTCTTTTTATATTAGCATGCACATTAGTTTGCTTAGCAGCAACTTGTCTAATTACTTGCTTTTTTTATGTAAGTAGAGTTTATATGAGGTTCAGCATTCAGGTTCTTCATTGATATATGCTTGTATCCCATATGGAGCATTATAAGACTGATCTAGGAACACTTGGGAAAACATTTATACATGAATGTACAGTTAAAACTAAAAACACCCAAATCAGTTACGGTCAAAAGCATACTGTAAATTAAATCAAAGCTGCTGTGTTTTTGTGCATCTTTTTGCCCGTGTGTTTCAGTGGAATCATGGGAATCATGTCTCCTCTATGGGAAACATAAAGTCCTGCATTTGTGAGATCTGTAGCTGTGCTGTCACATCATTGAAGTGCCATCGAGTTTTCATCACATATCTGAAATATTGAAATATATTCTTTGTATATTTTGACATACATATACATGTTTATTGTGAATGTACTCTAGGAATTGTTGAGTTTACATATCAACATTTATTGGTATTTGACGGATGACATAATTGTTGGAAAAATGTTACTATCCACAATGTTTGCATTGGAGTAAAATCATTGCATACAGGTCATTGGGCTGTGTGCTGTGCTTTAATGCTACATAAGATAGATATGCAACATCATTATTTGTCATGTTTGCCTACCCTTGTTTTTCTTTGTTTCATTGACAACCATATAACTGATCAATCAAAATAGTGCATTTGCTGAATTAAATCTTTGCCAAAAACAAAATGACTTGAGATCAGAATACTGATGTATCAAATGGGTATTCAAATAGTTTGGGACAACCTAAACGTGTGCAATGGTCTAAGTAATGTAAGCTATACTCTATTCTTTCCCTCCACCACACCTGATCCCCTCATTGGAGAGGATCAGAGACAAGGTAGCCTATAGGTTCGGGCTATGCTGGTGAATTTGGGTTTGAGTCCCCTCATCACTGCAAATTCTCCAGACGTGTATAGATTCCGTCTATCCCAGGTAGTCTATATCCAAGACTATGAAGTGCTCTTTTTGAGATAGGATGGGGAATCTAAAGCCTGATGCCTTATTTCACTCCACTCAATGCTGAGTGAGGAGGAATATTGTAAGTTACCTCTGACTTGTGAAAAGGCTTCATCTTCGCCTTTTATTTAGGTGTATTTCCAGGCTATTTCTGGATCCTTCTCTCAGTCAGAGCTCATGCACGGAGGATTTTTTTTGTGAATAATTTGATCCCCTGCGCCGCTCCTGGCAGAAATGGCACCGCAAACAAAAAACAGCAGAATTAATTCCAGTTCGTCTTGTCTATAACAAAATCCGGATTTACATTGTGTCTAACCATTGCTTTTACTGGGAATCCTGAATGTCAGTGCATCAACGTTTGTGAACACCCCCAGACAGATTCTGCATCCTTGGTAGTCCCCGGATCAGCACCTTGGACAGCAGTCGTGACACACTCTGGGGAAGAAAGTCCTTAATGGTCCAGTTGAGCTGTAGAGGAAAGCGGGAGGGATGCTTGGCTGATCTATTGATAGTTTTGAACTTGCATAACAGCTTTACCAATGTGTTTTATGGATCAGTAAAGTTTGCAGTTCACCATAACTTTATGATACAGAGACCTAAAGACATATAAAGTCACATTATAACCTGACGCATGTCCATCTCTTGCTAAAAAACAATAACTGCCAGGAAGAAGAAGTCCATATCAGCTTTTAAAATACTAGCCATGCATCCTAAAAATTCTATGCCCATACAACTAAATTGTAATGTCAATTACATTTCAATTATCTTTGTTTTTTATGTATCACAAACCCATTTCCAGTCATAGTTTAAAACTGTGAGTACAATCCGGAAGAAAATATGTGCCCCTTGAAACTTAACTGAGAACGCAGTTTAGTGGTATAAGAACCTAATTTAGCAGGAGACAGGGTTTAAGAATACACACAAGAGGCATATTCCTTATTGGTGTTGGCTTTGTTCAATGGGGTATAGACATGTAAACAACCTGGAAAGTCAGATTCATTCCTGCCACTTTTTAAATAATAAATACATCTAATTTATTCACACAGAACATGCAAATAACTTGTTAAAGTATGAATATCAGAAAACCCACAACTGATGAACAATGGCTGGAATTCTTTCCACCCTTCTCCTTAGGGCACACTGCCTACAGCAAATTAGGCATGCAATGGAAAACACAGCTCCAATCATTTTCTAACATAATGTTTATCAAAAACAGCATTAGTAATGCTGGCTAAAGACCAGGCTGAATATCTGCCTGATTCTACAAACCCTTAAAGGTGTCCCCAAGGGCAGACATGTGACATGGACAACATAACCGTTGCTACAAAACTATCAACCTTCTAAGAATTAACAACAGCGGCCAAGAGGATATTTGTGAGAGTGCTGGGCACTGCAAACAGAAAGGATCTTTTCCACCAGGCCGAATTGACACTGAGGTCCAGAGTGACTAATGTGCGCATTGTGTTCCAGTTTTTATGCTGCAGTGGCATCCACTCAGAGAAAAAGGTCTGTTTGTGAGAGTCAATAAGAAATCAATTGTGGCAATAAGAGAACGCTGAAATGAGCACGGGGCTGTCCTCAATCACTTCTTATTCTGCGTAATGTAGTTGTCCCTCATATGAGTTGATATTCAAGGATGGAAAATCATCTCCTCTTTGTCCTCGTCTGCTGGTGACAATACCTGCTTCTTCTAGCAGAATTTCTCAAAATTGCCAGTCATTCTGAATGCCCACACTCTTTGTGCTTGCCAAAAAACCGTTCACGCGCTACAGTGGTTTGAGAAAATGTATGCTGCAAAGTGAATTGGGAGCTTCAGGTTCCTGCCAATATTGTGTGATCACAATAAAGCCTCTTGCATATAATTATCATATGTATACCGGGAGGGGTGAAAAGAAGA